AAGACCTCTTCGATCATCATCAACCTTGCAGTTAACCCTCGGACCTCGTACCGCTACAAAATATGGCGACCGAGCTTTCTCAGTAAATGCCCCTATCCTTTAATTGGAAGGTCGTGGGTTCGAACCCCGGCCGCGTCATACCAAAAGACGTTAAAAGATGGGAGTTGTTGCTACCTTGTTTGGCGTTCAACAATAAGGGATAGAGCAACGTCGATCTGGCGCTGCTCAGTGGCTGCCGGGCTCACGATCAATTGGGCAAAAAGAATTTCCGTTTCGGTTTAATAAAATTTGGAGTGGACTATTAGATTATTATTATTATTATTATTATTATTATTATTACCAGCGCACTTTCATAATATTCATTCTCTCGACCAATTCAAGTCCTTGCTGAAAACGCACCTTTTTAATTCATAAATAATATTCTGCAGTTGTGAGTCGGTCAAAGGAGGTGCACACCGTCTTATTTTTTGTTTGTTCGATCCTATGTTTGATCCTATGTTTGACCTCTTGTATGTATGTTTGTTTGATCTCACTCTTATCTTATTTTTTATTATTATATATGCATGATTTATTGAATAAAGAACAGATGTATAAGTTGTGTGTTTATTATAAGTTTTGGTAAATAATTGTTAAGTCAGAATATGGTGCGCTTAGAGACACCAGTATTAAGCGCCTTATAAATATTGTTTATTATTATTATTATTAAAAAGGAAAAGTGGTTGACAATTTCCTGAAATATCAAGTTTTGATTTGTTTTGAACTGGGTAATAATTAAAAATTGTCTTGTCTTTGCTTAGCCATGTTAAATGAATTAGTAAATGTTTTAAAGTCCTTAAATTTTCATTCAACCACAAAAAAGAATTGTTTTATTTAAAAAAGAGTTTAATTTGGTGTTAATGAATATTCATAAATTATGTAAATATTTCTATAACGCACTGCATCGGTCCTTACTTTAAAAAGATAAGAATAATCAACATAAATTGTTTGAGTAATACGTATAATTTCTGATTTTGAGTTAAAATTACTAAATTAATACAAGCTGAAATTACTTAAAGTTCTTATGTATTTGATTTTACTTAAATATTCCACGTATGTTCTACTAAATTGAAAGTTTGAGTTAGCAAGACTTAAATTTAGTGCGTAAGTGGCAAAATTAATGTTTTCAAGTAAATTCTACATGGAAAAAATACGTAAAAATTACCAATGAACAAATTCTTTTTTACAGTGTGGTATTATCGGCGATTCATTCTTTTTTAGAATATTTACGCCTTTCACTTTTTTTTGGTACTATTTGTAAATTCATACTCTTCTCTTTTTTGTTGTTGATAATATAATCTCAGATCTACTGGTCCATGAAAACCCGCGGTACATTGCGCAATCTTCTCGGCCATCATTGGCCTAGGCAACTCCGGTGCTGGTGAGAGGATTCTGGGGTAGATCTCCAGAGTCTCTTGTTTGGGGTTTACCGTCCTAAATCCGCCTTTACTCTTTCTTACCTTTTCTCGGGTTTATAGGGTTAAATAAAAACATTGGCATATATGTTTGTCGGTAACTGATGGCTAGTTTTGTCGGGTAGTGAGCGCTATTTTCCCCCCTTTTTGACCCCGAACATTTGAAAATCAACACCACCCCCCCCCCCTTGAGCAAACAAAAAGTGATAAATTTATGGTCACAAAATATTTTGTTAAAACTTTTTTTGGGGGGCAGTGGGGGGGGGGGGGGGCATCGGGGGAACGGGCAAGGCCTGCTCGACTCCATTGGAATCCGCGCCTGTATAATACAACGTCTCGCGACGTGACAGATTTTTTCTCTAACTTCAAACCAATCAGAAGGCCTCGTTTTTTTTTCAAGGAAGTGCCGGTGGACATTTATGCGCCAAATGTGTTTCTCAAATTGCAAAAGATCCCTATTTGAGAGGGGGTAGGAGAAAGCAATTTTACGTCATATACTCCAGGAAGTGCCTGAAAATGGGCCCAATGTGGTTCTATAATAGCAAATGCTTCCTACTCAGGGAGGGGGTTCTGACCCCTCCCAGACCCACCCCGTTTGGTCGCTCCGCTCAACGCCTAGCTCTGTCGCTTCGATCCATCTTTTTTCTATTTTCACCCCCATACGATTTTGTGTCCCCCCGGTATGAAATTCCTGGATCCGCCACTGATGATGATGTTGATGATTGCATTGTCGATAATGATGATTATAAGAATATAACTAAAAGTAACGATAATAATGATGATGATGATAATAATAATATTTATTATTAAAACAAATAAAAAATGCTGCTGCATTATGATGATTATTAAAAAAACAGCCGTGGTCATGGGATTCTTATTCATTTCTTCATGCATGCACACAATTGCAATGTGTGAAACATCTTCAATGTTCTCCATTTATATGACATTTATCAGTTAATATTGCATGCAATAGGGAGTATAATGGCCACCCAAATAGTTTCAAATTTCAGGCGCCGGCTTTCATCCCCCCTTTCGTTGTTTTCCTCATTCCTTTATGCTGAAAATGATGAGGTACTATACAATGTAATTAAATCAAAAATATGATGTCTTCTTTTAGAAATGCTATTTCTTCTTTTTGTTATTCTTCTTTTTTCTTCTTTTCGTTCTTCTTCTAAGTTCTTGTTCTTCTTGTTCTTGTTTTTGTTTTTGTTCTTGTTATTCATATTCTTGTATGTTTCTTGTTGTTCTTGTTCTTCTTCATCTTCTGCTTTTTCTTCTTCTTGTTCTTCTTAATTGTTCTTCTTTTTGTTCTTGCTCTTGTTATTTTTGTTCTTGTTATTCTTAATTTTTCTTGTTCTTGTTCAAATGTTCTTCTTCTCGATGTCTCCTTCTCGTCTGTTTTTCCCTTTTTGTTTGCCAGCTTGAAGACACATCTATTGTGAGACTTACTTACTTGTGACGCGATGTAATCTGTGAAAACATTGTGATTTCTGCCGCTCAAAGTCAGATAATCAAAGATCAAAACGAGAGAAAGATCATCGGAAACTGCTCTAACTATCTAACCTCTGCTTACATGTAAGTGGGAAATAGAGTAAAAAACGTATATATGTTGAAAATACTGTTTTATCAATACAAAGTTGTAGGCACGTCTGAAATGGTGTTACTCATCCGTGCACTGAGCTCCTGCCGCGCCTCGCCCGCAGCCAGCGCCAGTACGCGTACGTGCCAGTGCAGTGAGTAGAAGAACGGGCGCTTGTTCAGAAACCTATCCAAATTAGACCCGTATCGCCGGCGTAGAAATACCCTACTAAAACATACCCAAAATGAAGTAAATATTCATTAAATGTTCAAACAGAGATCATGAATTAAAATTTGTTATGTTTATTACCTGTTTCATGTCAATTTTCTTGTTACTTTTGGAGTATTTTTGGGGAAAACAATGATATTAGTAGACCATTACACCGGGTTTCTTCTTCTTCTTCATCAGTAAATGCTACTTCATACAACAAAGATTACGCACTGCAGTGTGCTGTGTGCCATGTCCAAAATGTGTGTAGGCCTCAATCCAGGTGCAAAATATATATACAGTAGTGCAGTGGGTTCTTAACGGGTGAGGTCCAAGGGCAGAGCCCCAGGATGCTCTCAAGTTTTAGCATTTCAGAGCCTTCACAATAGCTGTCTTGAGTGATAGAAACACACACTATGATACAGAAACTTTCATTGATTGGGGTATTCATAACTTGTAGTTAAAGCTTTTACCAACCTTAAAATATAGTATTAGTAGGCAAGCTTTTGTCTACTCTTGTGAACTTTTTCAAGCCAAGTGATTATTCACACACTTTCTGTCTGCTGCCTCAAGATCACTGGGGCAAAGATAGGTCAGGGAGATAGATGACAATTAAAAGCCAGAGTACTTATTCAGGGAAGGACTAATCCTTTTCTTCCAGATGGTTTCTTTCACCTGTGTTGACCAGAATTGCTTTTCAAGCTCAATAATGTGGACATTATCCCATTGAATATTGAGTCCAGTATAAAGGGTGTGGTCTTTTATTGCTGAATGAGATGAAATGCTCAATCTTTTGTGCTCTTTTAAATTCGCTCCAGTAAACTCGGGCAATAGATACCAAAAAATTGTGTGAATAATCAAAAGTCAACTGGAGTGGACGTAAGCTTGCCTAAAATGCCTACTAAATTTTAGGGTTGCTGGTATAAGCTTAAATTACATGACAGTGATGAAACACACAAAGTTTTGAGAAGCCTTGTTTAAGATCATCTTCAAGTCTACATTAAACCAATTCCTTATAGGTCCTACTAAGCTACAGTAATCAGTTAAAAGTGAAAATTACATTGTGACTATAAGTGAACTCAAAAATTCAATATTTGTAGGAAAAGAAAATATCCAAAGATCTTCGTAAAAATGTTGTACATCTGTTTTTCAGGAAACAGTAAAGTCATTGGAGGGAGGGGTAATCTGCAGGCCCCGATTTAAAAAAAAAAAAATCCAGATTTTATTTTTCCTGATTTAAAAAAAAAAAAAAAAAAAATCCTGATTTTTTTTTTTAGTGCTCACTATCAACCCTGAATCTGCCATGGCAGGCAAGCCATGGTCAAAAGTATATTCTTCAGCTTTCAGACCCATATCAATTTCAAGATAAAATGTCCAAATGTGTTAACTGAATAGTTTAAAAGATGTGTTTTAATGTCTAGAAGGCTTAAATTGAGTCATTTTGATATAAATTTGTTTGATAATAGAGCTTATCCATTACAAGTTCTGTATTGTATAATTTTGATTCCCTCTTTCTTCTATATTTCAGATGCAGCATCTTTTGGCCAAGTTTGAGTATTCTTTGATCAGACCGTTCAACGATGTTATGGAACGCCTCTCTGGCATAGGCCTGACCACCGATCTGTATCTATGAACACTGTCTACTAGGATATTTTCGTTTCTTATTTTATCACTTACCAATACCATCAAAAACAGGAATCTCGATCACGCCTGGAGCTCATAATCTTCCCAGACCTTCAAGAGTATAGGACTAATTATCCTGTGGAAACTATATTGGAATTTTCCTTGGTGAATCTCCTCTCTTCCTTTGATTTGATGTCATGGCTGGGGCAAAGAACAAGCCAACCGGCCCCAGCAACTTTCTTTTGTGGTTACTCCATCGCATGTACACGGTAAGGATCACCATACTATGGGTCATGACCGTGCTTCTGGTGTGTGTGTTCCTGATCTGGGGCTACGTGGATCAGTTCTGTGAGCATTGTGTGGAGCTGGATAACCAGAAGCAAATGGCAGGAGGAGATGGGAGGATCCAGCAACGGGATCAGTGGCCGACAGCCAGCAGCAGTAAGTAGTTTTAATGATACAATTTAAAAAAGGAGAAAAACCTGCCCTTACTTTAATTCATTGCATGCGGTAACTGGGTGGCTCCTGTTTAAATCCCATCGGAACACGTTTATTCAGTAGCCAATGAGTTAAACAAAACTTAGATCTGTGATAACAAGCCGTATTATCGTATATAAGCCTGTTTTGCCACCAAGTTATTGAACAATTGAGCAATATCTGATTGGAGTTGTGAGTGATACACAAATATGAAATGAGTTTTGAAAGCTAATTTTGCCCCCCCCCCCCCCCAAAAAAAAAAAAAAAATTCCCTGTCAATAATAGTACTGGCAATTATTGTAGTTGTTACAATAAGAAATGAACTATCCTGTTGCAAATGTAGGTTCCCATGCTAAAAAGGTTATTGTTAGAAATCATTAACAATGCATTTATCCCTCTACAGACTCATGTATGACAGTGAATTTTGCCGAGGAGGGCAGTCAATCGCTTGTAGCATTGGCCAGTTATCCAGGCTCGGGCAACACCTGGCTGAGGCATCTATTGGAACACTCTACCGGCATTTATACAGGCAGTGTCTACATTGACAGGAGACTCAAAGAGGGCGGTATGTCATATGAAGAGATTTCATTGCCGCTTTTTTAAATAATTATTTTTTAATATCATTTATTTGAAACTAAAATGGCACGTGTGGATGAACCAAAGAGTATATGCTTGCAACAGAGCTCTTACACATAAATACTATCTGTGTATTTTAAAGTATCAATAATGGCATTACACTTTTATTATTATTTTTTTTAAATGCTGCATTTTAGTGAGTCGTATGTAAACAAGTGTTTAGTGGTAACCTCTCCAGAAACGCGACATGTGTACAGTGGCAACTCTTTCTGTTTCTCTTGGATGGCCATTCAAGAAAATTTTGAATGTATCTTCATTTATGCCTCTATATTATGTATTCTCTTGTATCTTATGAACTGATGGTTAGGGTAAAGAGAAGTCAGGTCTTGGTTTTCTTCTCCTTACATGTACATGTATCCTATATACAGTTTGGAGAACTGCAGTTGGTGCAGGTGTTGGTAGTACACATATATCAAAGAATAGGCAGGTTTACAGTGACATCACACAGTGGAATGTTTAAAGGGACTTGGTAACATTGTTCAGATGAGAGATAGTGGTGCTAAGATAGTGACTTCAATGCTAGATGTACAATTAAAGATAATCTGAAAATTTGAGTGAAAACGGATCATTATTCATGGTACAAATTGGGAAAAACTGATCTGATCGATTCCTTAATTCTCCCAACTATATTATTACAATTTAATTACATTTCAGGTGAATAGAAATCGTCACAAAGCAATAAAATGCCCCTACATTCCATTCCAGACATTAAAGTGTTAACAGATTTTTTATAGCCTGTTTTATGTCTTTTTTTCATGGAAAAACGGTTGGGAAAATTCAAAAATGGTTGTGAGAATTTACTGTTAATCACTGTTAGAGGGTGTCATACATCGACGCCTTCAAAGAAAACCTTAGATATCTTTGTGGTTTCAGAATTTTTTCAGGATTTTTTGCATGTCAGAGGGTTAGTACAGTAGAAGGAATACATGTATAGGTAAGTAACATTTTATACAAAAATTAAGCAATTTTTTCATCAACCTTCAACAATGTTACCAAGTCACTTTAACGTGGAGGTCAAGTACATCATCATCTTTATTTCTACCATTAGACTTCACATGAACTCAATCATCTTTGTCCTTGTGATCCTAGGTTTCCGCGGAGAGAGTGTCAACTTTATGAAGAAGAGTGTCCTTGGTGTGAAGATGCACCGATGCAGTAAGAATGAGCTGGGAAAGTTTGAGGCACTTATCCTTCTTGTCAGGAACCCGTATCATGCGATGATTTCAGAATGGCATAGATACCACTCCACTGGACATGTGAACAAAGTTGATGAAGATACATTCCACACGAAAGGTGAGTAGTCCTTTTGAGAATCCCTTCACTGTCTTACTAAAAAGCAGCTTCTAACTGAGAGTAAGTTTTTTTTTACCATGACTAAATAGTATACAAATAATACACAGCAGTGAGGGCATGAGTAAGAATTACACACACAAGGTACCTTTGGAACAGTCTCACATGCTCAAGGCTGTTTGAACTGTTTCGAAGAGACAGATAGTGGGTAATTTTACTAATGCCCGAACATAATGATGTGTATTATTTGTTTTTATAAAATGATGTTTTATTTGTTTTATAAAATGGTGTTTTATTTGTTTTATGAAATTATGTTTTTTGTTGTTTTATGAAATGATGTTTTATAATATGATTTTACTAATGGCCGGTCATTAGTAAAATTATGTGTTAGGCAAAATGAATGCCTGGTCACCTCTCAACCAATCATTTGATTAGGATCTGCTTCATCATCTTAAAATACATATGTACAATATTATTACCGCGCTATGATCTGAGAATGGCTTAGATACCACTCTACTGGCTATGTGAACAGAGCAGATGAAGACATAAACGTCTTGATTTAATCACAACACCACCAACTACAGTGAAACATGCTTTAGCATCTACCTGTATAGAAAGACCACATTTCTGTTTCTCTTGAATAGTGTTTCTCAATGCAACGAGAAACATAAAGACCACCTGCCTGTAAATTCTACTTTCCTTGTCTCCCTTGAGCGATCTTATATACAGGTTTCACTGTAGTCGTAAGGATCTCTTACATTGATTTGATTGAGTGAATGTTACTATTCTCAGTGATGTATCATATTTTGTTCTCTCTTTCCTTTGTGTGTGTAGAATGGGAGGACTTTGTCGAAGAGGAAAGCAGCCATTGGGAAAGAATGATGCGCAACTGCTTAAAGGACTCTCTTAAAACCAAGGTCGTGTTCTACGAAAACCTTCAAACAAACTTGGAATTTGAGCTTGCAAATCTTCATCTATTTCTCAGGGTACCTATCGATATTGAAAGATTAAAGTGCGTGAAGGGCAACTCCGAGGGGAAGTTTCACAGGGGGGCGGATCAAGAGTTTGACCCCTATACAGAAGAAATGGTTGCTAAAATCAACAAGAGGATCCTAAGTGCTGCTGTTGCACTCAAGGAGAGGGCAAATGTTAAATTTCCGGTGGATTATAGGAAATTACCCGGTTCATAGCACAGGTTTCTTGATGTGTAAAGGTGGATGCATGTTGAACTGTGGACCGCAAATTGTAGGTGCTATCTAATATTATCTACTTTAAGCTTTTGGATAATATGTTTTCTGCTACCAAATCCAAGATATTTCGTTCCTTAACTTAAAAAAAAAAAAAAAAGATATGGGAGCATGCGGCCTCACCCAGGCAGATGTTGAAACCCAGAATGCTTGGAGAAAAGCCATAAAGGAAATGGAACGTCATCCATCCCACAACTTGATGACTATGATGTCACTGACTTCATCACAGTTTTCAGTGTACCTGATGATTCTGTGAAGTTGACATAACCTCTATGGCTTGAATGAGAACGAATAAAAAAGAAAACGTTATATGTGATGATGTTGAATATTGATAATTTTTTTCCTTATTCTTGGAAACGTATGAGACAGCAAATGACCAAATACCTTTCGCCCTTCCCTCCATAAATCTTAGTTGCATAAATTCAGAGGATAAAACATGATGGATCATAATCTGTATAGTATTTGTTTAATGTTAATCTTTGTTCAGGAGGTCAAAGTCCAACATTAGTCTCATTCATTTTGATATCCTTTCATACGGTTACAGACAACGAATATCAGCTGGTGTAGAATGTATATTAAAAGGTTCATATTAACAAGAAGTTAATGCACTGTATATAAGCACTCCATACAAGCAAGCAAGACGTTGTTTCTTTTGTTGTTATCAAAGGCCTCTCGCAAATTGGCAACTTGCAAATTGGCAACTCAGATGCTCAGTACTTGTGTGAATAGTTACAGGGCCTTGCATATTTTTTTGTTATTGAATATATGGTTACAGTAGAGTGTATTGATTAAGTCAGTGGGGCCAAACGTAGAAGGATGCCAAACAAGAAATGGCCAACTCATTATTTTAATGAACACTCTAAATATCAGAATTATGGTCATTTATGATACTCAAACTGGGTTTTTAATTGTGACAGCACTTAAAAAATGCCATTTACGCCCATATTTTCTTATGTTCTTCCTCAACTTCTTTCCCAAATTCAGTTTATTCATTACGAATAGAACATAATATCTTCTTGTTACAAACATTCCAAGAAAATTAATCCACCTCTCAAAGTACAGTATTATTTTACACCAATTGTTAGATAGATCCCATTGTGATTTTCTGTAAAGATTGCAGGCATGTTCTTGTTTTCGTAAGAGTGGAATACGCAGTTAGTCGAGGGGGGGGGCGGAAGGAATATTTTTATCAGAAGTTTCTAGAGCAATTTCCCTTAAGCACCTCCCATTAAACAATACATAAATTTGTGTCCAGATGTACAACTTATTGGTAGAATTATATGTTAATAAGCTTCTTCTATATGTGCAGCAGTTTCGTAGTACTACACATACTTATTGTGTATGTTTGTGTGTGATGTCTTTTGTTCAATTGAGTGCATGCGTGTATGAATAATGAATTTTGTTATTTATTTCATTTTCATGTTCAGTGTTCCTATCATTTGACATTCTATACAAAGTCAGCAAACCAAATAACTAGAATAAACCATATGACTATTTTCAAAGGCACTCATTGCAATGAGTGGAGAGAAAAATAATCACTACGCATCTCTTTATGTACCTTCATGTAAATGTTTAAAACATTTTTATGCCTCCGCCCACCAAAGGTAAGAGACATTATGTTTACGGATTGTCCGTATGTGCGTATGTGTGTCCGCCTGCTTTCTGGTTAATGCAATATCTCAAGAACCACTTGAGATATGAACTTCAAAACTTGACGATAGTACTGGTATGTATCATCATGGGAAGAGTAACTAGATTAAAGGTCAAAGGTCACAGATCAATTTTTGAAATTCTAGATATAGCCTTGTTACCGCAACGTCTCAAGAACCACTAGAGATACAAGGCTCAAACTTGGTGATAGTATGTATCATCAACATAGGAAGATAATCCATTTGGGTTCAAAGTTCAAAGGTTACAGAGGTCAATTTAAGAAATGACATGCTTTAGTCTTGCTATTGCGATATCTCAAGAACCATTGTGATATGTCACTAATAATTCCAACCATTTTGTATACTGGATTTAGGACGAAGACATAGGAGATGCAGTCGCATTTGTCTTGTTTTATTATGCAATCATTATTTTTTCCTTTATGTAATCAACATTATTGTTATCATTCAGATTTGCATTTGCGGTAGTGGTGTCTAGTTGTCTTATCTGTATTTGTATATGTACAAATTGAAATGCCTTGCAATATTGTGAATTCCTTTTTTTTTCTGTCTGTCTCAAACAAAGTCAAGTAGCCTTTGGGCTTAGCTTAAGAAAAGCATGAAGTACAAGGGCTTATTTTGCAATTATTATTCTTTCACAGATTAGTTCTTATTACATGTATCAGTAAATTTGTACACTTTACTTTTCGTGTAGGAAGACATGAATGATTTAATGAATATGAGTAATACCCGGTCATAATATTCAGGATTTATATAGCACTTAATACATCTATGATGTCTTAAAGCACTTTACAGATACACTATTACTCTTGTAGTGTACCTTCTCTACTTCATGGAGAGCATTTGAACTAACGCTTCATTGATGTATTTTTCATAAAACTTTTTTATTAATATGGGCCATGGACATCAAGTTCTGGTTTGCCTGCACACAAATTATGCACATTCTCTACTCCCTGGGGAGCATTCTAAGCAGGCACCTTTAATACAACCACTCACAATGCTGAACAAACAGCAATGATTGTGAATATGCACCATTTTGTATGATTATACCCATGTGTGGGGAAAAGAAATAGTATTGTCATCTGTTTGTTTATTAAACAATGATATGATCTGAAATGTGAATATATATATATATATATATACAGAAGAGATCAATATATTTGATATTTTGAAATATCACTGAATATATGTAATGAGAGGTGGAAAGAAACTTTTTTAGGTAATGATTCCGAAATGTGAATATGTGAAAAGGATGGAAACGTGTAAATCAACTCAAAATCACCTTCTCGTTCTTTGCATTTTATCCTGACTGAAAGGCTGATGAACTGTGCTGTGAGCACATTAACATTTATTTTGTCATGTACGAAGCTTTAAATAAATATGTACAGTTATTGTGGGGTCTATTAATATATGGAGGATATAACATTTTCAGTTTCAAGAAGTAGTTAATCAGAATTTGTCAACTATTCTGTTTGTAACATTCATGGTCGAGCGAAAAATATTCATTTGTGACTGTGAGCTAGTGGATTTAAACTTTATTATCTTATGTTTCCACTTATCTACTAATGGTTGAAATTAATTCATGAGAATTTATTCAACTGTCTAATATTTTTACTAATCAATCTTTAATATTTAGAACTTTCTTTATATGCATGTATTGCCTTATTAATATTAAAGGCACTTTTTATTCCATTAACAAATTGGGTACATAAATAGGACAGACAAGCTGGACTAACAAATTATATTATCAGTTGATGTTGTTTCTGTTGAAGTAAGTCATGAGGTAGGGTTCATGTAATGAAGTTTTTGTTTTATAACTGAATTTATTGAGGAAAATCCCAGTTAGTATTTCCTTTATATTGGTGTATCATTTTATTGATATGTTTGAAATACTTGTAATTCTTTTACATGTATGTGTATTGTAATCAGTAAAAGGAATTTACAAAAATATTCAAATCCAACATTTTCAAAAGAATTTTAATTAAAGAAATTTTGGAAGTGTCTCTTGTGGATAAAATGATAAAGTTTGAACTTACACTATTTCTAAAGAAACAGAACCAAACTGCTTATTTTTTAAGTAGTCTTTATTGTATTTAACTTGTTTTTTATAGTAGTTATGAGGGTGGGTTTATCTAGTATTGTGCTCATCGTTAAACCTCAGAAATGGAATTTAAAAGCTTAGGGGCATTTTGTTTTTTTCCGTGCTTTATAATTTTAACATTCAGTATTACCTAAAAATTGTACATGTATTATCTTTCATGTACTATCGTGTCACACCTTGCTAAACGTGCTGAATAATGAATAAAGATTCATCATCAACTGGAGTATTGTTTCATGTTTTGTTGTTTTTAATGACTGAATCAGCGTATTGTGAGTCCATCGATTGAAGGGGCACTGAACAGATGGGGGGGGGGGGGGTCTTACTCTGAAAATGAAAAGCAAATTAAAAAGGTTACTGATTTAGGGGGTGGGGGATGCAGGAAGTTGTCCTAGCATTTCCTATTCTCATCTCTTTCCCTTTCTTGCTCTTTTGCTTTTCCTTTATTTTTGTTTTTCCTTTATTTTTGTTTTTCACCACTCGATTGGGAGGCATGTGACCCAACTACAATGTATACCTATGAACCTCCAGAAGCTCTGCTACTGGATGGAATCTTTTGATTTAAAAAAAAAATATACAGCCATAGTCCTTTGTCTTGGACACAATTATCAAGGGCCGCCCGACACCCCACCCTGTCTGAAATTCTTGTAATTTTTGTAATTTCTTTTTTTGTATCCCTTTGTCATTGAATTTTTTTTTTCTTTGTATGTGTGTTTTTAATGCCCAACCATATTCCTTTCTGACACAGTTTGTGCATTGGTTAGATATGGGTGAAATCGACCCCACTTTGGAGTCTATTGAGGGGGAGGGGGCTCAGGAACCACCACAAATACAAAGAAGAGGCAGGGAACAGTGCCCCGCTTTTTTTAAGTATCCCAAAAGTGCCTCTAATTACATAAGAAAAGTGCCCCTTTCACTTAAATCCCCCATTTTCTTTCAAATAGGTGCCCATTTCACAATCTTATCAGTGCCTCTAATTACCACCTCCGACCAGTGCCGTTATTAAAATCTGAGAGGTATTTTACTTGACAAGTGCTGCTTTTCCTTTGTATGAAGGGCCCCTTCCCCTTCTAATAAGTGCCCCCTTTCAACTCTGATTTAAGTGTCCCTTTTGATTTGACACGTGCCCCCTTTTCTTTCAAATGAGTGTCCCTTTTCCTTCCGCCCCCCTTTCCTTTTCAATAAGAACCCGGCCCCTTCCCCTTCTCATAAATGCCCCTATTAAAGTCTGAGAAAATGTATCTTATTAAAGATCTTTTCAGTCTCTAATGCAGATTGGGGTTCTCCTCTTTATAGGATGTTATTTTTCGCACTATATGTGACCTAGCTTACAAATTAAACTTTTTTTTTTACTATAGCTCGCTTCAGCTTCATACCCAACTGGAAAGTATCTAATTGGATCATGCTTTAAAAGAGAAAAACAAAGTAGGGGTATAAACCAATGTCTGCAAATCGTATATTTTCGCTTTGAGGTTTCCCTATGTAAGTGCCCCCTTTTTTTAGTGTGGTGATTTTGCTCTTGGTGTCCACTTTTGAAGACTCCGCCGCCCCTGGCTGAGGAAAATAGCACAAAAACAACAATTTCTGCGAGCGCGAGCAGTTGAGAACCCGACCTGCGCTATACTCTAGGTACCACAGAACTGCTACTGATACCCACTGCAGTTAGTTTAGCCAGAGCATTGATAAACTAGCGCCGTGTGTCGCGCGGCGCGTGCGGAAGTAATTTGCACACACGGAAGTACCGACTCTCCCTCCCTCTTTCTCCCTCGAAGAGAGACTTCATTTCTAACTTTCCTACCGTTAGTCCTCACAGTATTTAGTGACAAGATGCCGGTAAGTGTTATTCAAGACAGTTAAAACATTTTATTCTGATTTATTGCCCATGTTTTAGATGTTAAAAGCCTGAAATAGGCGTCTATATTGTGGCGAGATGGGTGTTCAGTCGCACTCGTAGAGTTTCGTGTAGTGTTGAGAATGAGAGATGATATTTATGATGCGATGAGGAAGAGAAGCCAGGAGGAGGAGGAGGATCGAGAAGGAGAACATGAAGAAGATAAAAGAGAAGGAAGAGGAGGAGGAGGAGAAGAGGGAGATAAAAATGTGAAGAAGAAAAAGATGCAGAACAAACATGAGAAGAAGAAGAAGAAAAAGAAGAGCTTCAGAAGAAGAAGATGAGGAAGAAGCTAGAAGAGGAAGAAGAAGCAGAAAAGAAGAGGAACTTGGAAGAATGGTGAGGAGAAGGAGAACAAGAGACAAATGAAAATATCCTGCATGGACTGTCAACTCTCAACTCTAGTCGTAACTTAACTTTAGTCAAACATCAATTAATCTTTCTGGAAATTCAGCTTCAGATTAGATGTGAAAGTATAGTGTTGTGTATCTTTCTGTCACAGTTGAATTACCCGAGAGAGAGAGAGAAATTGGCATCATGACATTTTAATGTGATACTGTGATACTGCAGCGTGTGTACATTTAACTCAGTGTTTATTAATTATTGCAGTATTTACCAAATTTGGTTTTCCCTTTGGCCAATATATTACTATTAACGGCAGTATAAATACAAGTATCTTGATTCCAATTAACATTAAAAGCATTTTTCATTTGTGATGGCCTTAATTCTTATTCTGATAACCTATTTTGACTCTCTGCATTTTCCCCAACTGTATTTCTTTAATATTGAAAAGCATTTTGATGGATGTACATGTTATTCGTAAATTAATTATACAATTTCATGCCAGTGGGGGACATTTTTAAACGTAGTTTCATTTTCTTCAAATCTAAGCAACAAGATACATGTGAATATGAATGTGACTCGCTTGTACCTGTATTTTGTATTTGTGTTTTAAATGACTTCAATGATTTGGTCAATGATATCCATGCAAATGATTTCTCTCATCCAGGCCTACCACTCACAGTTTACTGATGCCCAGCTCAAGATAGGGAACCTGGCTCTTCTGCCTCTTAGGACCAAGTTTAGAGGACCAGCGCCAACTAACAGTAGTAAGTTAATAATGATAATAAAGACCCTATCTGATAAAAATCCTGAATGAACATAAAATACAAATGAAAAAGGAATACCGGTAATATATATTTTCCCTTTCAGTATTGCACAAAAGCAAATGCAAACCTCATTTTCCGCACCTCTCCAAGTTACTGGTCAACAGGGGTCAAATTTGCCAAAGTTACAGTGACAGCTTTATATGTGGACCTGATTGGCTTGCCTACATAGCGGTGAGCCGTGCTTAATCAATGCAAAGTCATTGTGAATATGCGGACTCCACATAAGATGAAGTCAAGTTTTAGGTCGACGACATCCAATTTTTAAAGATTTAGATTTTGACTTTACAGAGAGCTGTTACTCTTCTGATAAGACACTAAAATGGCATTTAATTTATATTATTGTTATCTATGGCTTATAAGCTTTCTTCTGATATACAATTCATCTATTTCACTTTTTTTCACTATTTCTTTAATATTCTCGGTTTATATGCTTGATACATCACTGATGTCTCTTCTAAGTGGGACATGAATATATGATCCCGGCTTGCGCTCATCTGATCTCACTCTCCAGGTACCCATAATGCTTTCCAAGGGATGTGGAGGAGCCCTTGCCTTCTCATCTATTACGCCTCGTTTGTGGAACTCACTCCCTTCCTTTCTTTGTGAGAGTGATAGTCTAGAACATTTCTAATCATGCCTCCAAACTTGGCTGTTTCTGCAAAATTTGCAAATGTATTTTTTAATGACTTGAATTGAAGGAGCCTGCGCCTTTGAATGTTAACAAAAATGATTAATAATTATGGCCCTATATAAATGCTGTGAATCGTTGTCTGCCCAGTATTGTGTTATCGTTGCTCTCTCTGATCTCAATAAACAAGTTGACAGTTAGCCCATCTCTGCAATGACCCTGAATATCCACAGATCTTCAAAACATGAAGAGGTCCCACTTTGTACATTTTGAAATAACCACTCCTACAGCGATGGAGGTGCTAGATAAATAGCCTTTGTTTCCCCTTTTCAAAGAATACTTCCACCTGTGTATCATGGAGCGCACTGCTTGTGCATGAATGAATAATGATTAACTTTCATGAGCACGTATCCCATATTTTGTCTCTGTGTACCGTATTTCATAATTTGTTCTGCAATGCCCTTTATCTGCTCATGCTCAGACTGCAACCATGAACTGGCTTATTTGCCAATAAACTGCTGATGTATATTTTAGTCATTCAGGGCCCTATCTTACAAAGAGTTGATATTGATCCGAATCAATATCAAGTCCCTAAATCAATCACAAGTTTGCAGTCTCCCATCTCTTATGTACATAGTTGTGATTGATATCAATCACAAATAAGTTGCGATTGATATCAACTCTTTGTAATACAGGGCACAGATCTTCATTGTGTTTTTTTTTTTTTTTCTATTAAAGGTGATGATAGTGACATCATTGATGAGGCCCTGACCTATTTCAAGGCAAATGTTTTCTTCAAGAATTTTGAAATCAAGGTAAGCTAAATCAATCAATCGGTCAATCAATTGATCAATAAATTCACCATAAACCAATCCGCTAGGGGCGTTGCAACTGGACCCTAATTAAAATCATTCTCCATTTGGGAATTTCTCTGTCTCATCCCTGTATTTCCTGATGCTCATTTTGTTACATCTCAGCTAAGACAGTTTATTTTCCCCTGAAGATGATGTGGTTTAATCAAATTGTATTTTGACAGAGTGACGCTGACAGGGTGCTGATCTACATCACATTGTACATCACAGAATGTCTTAAGAAGATGCAAAAGGTAAGTTGAAACTCCCATTGAAGTCTTTCCCTTTACTGCATTCAGACTTCTGGAATTCATCATATAGCTGTAAGATTCTCGTATATTAGAATACAGCAATTAATTACATTTTGCATCATCTGAACATAAAGAGACATATATTAAACATGTTTGAGCATTGTTTCAAATTAAAACTCGATAAAGAATCAGGGGCCCATTGTAGACTGAATGTTTTATCGTATGAAAAAAAAACATATAATTGGGCGAGGCTTGTAATGGCTATTTATGAAAAAGTACATAAGAGTGATGATCAAATCAATTCGAGAAAGCCCAAACTAAAGGAGATGGCCGTACACCTATGTTGCTAATATAGCAAATGTATATTAAAATGAAAAGAAACATTTCTTGATTATAGGTCTTTCTATACAGGTTGCTTGCTAAAGCACATTAATTTTACTGTAATTTACATGCTGTCTCACTCCGTTTATCATTCTCTCAACTTTTCCCCCTTGCCAGTGTGCCTCTAGGAATGAGGCTCAGAAGGAGATGACCTCTCTAGCTATCGCTAAGTTCAGCATTCCTGGAGAAGCAGGCTTCCCTCTCAATGCCATCTACCTAAAACCAACCAATAGGGCAGAAGAAGGTATGTAGTGAAACCTGTGTATAAAGACCACTCGATGGTGACCAGAAAAGTGGTCTCTATATGAGCAGGTGGTCTTTATGACCAGGATTCCTTTTGATGAACAGTGAAAATCACTGTTTAAAGGAAACAAATTGTGTTTTTTATTGACAGGTGGTCTTTATGTAGTGGTGGTTGCTAAAGCAGGTTTACCTATGTTACCAACACCCCTCTCCCTAACAAAAGAGTCGGAGGGGGAAAGGGGGGGGGGGGGGGGGGGGAGTTGTTCAGCGGGGGAGAGGTGAGTGGTGTAGTTGGCCTAGGAGAAATTGCCATTCTGGTAGTTGTCCAAATATGGCCCAGGATATTTGAGGTTGCCTAAATGAAAAGAAAGTGAGTTAAAGATTCTGAAAGTCATACTGCACACAGTAATGTGTATAATTATACAACTACATGCACATGTGTCATGAAGAGTTAGTCCACACTCTCCAGCCATTTCTAATCATATTTCAAATATAATGACATTTGAATAGCATTCCTTTTCAATGGGACATTAGGTGTTATAATACGCTTTCAAGCAAACATAAAAATAATGAGAAAGTCAGCAAATTATCTGTCACCTGATGATAACTCGACCTCCTCTTAAATTTCCTTTTTCCCCCTTTCACATCCCCAGACCAAATGAGGGCGTACGTACAGCAGATTAGGCAGGAGACGGGCCAGCGCCTGGTAGACAAGGTGCTTGATCCAGCCACGAGCAGACCTAGCAAGTTCTGGATGTGCTTTACCAAGAGAAAATTCATGGACCGAAGCCTCTCTGGCCCAGGACAATGAGCAAAAATAGATATAAGGGCAACTCCAAGGTATTTTGTCCCATGCAATACCGACCACATCTAAGATTTCAGTATCTGATGACCTTCCATATCAAGCTGATAGCCATATAAGAGCTTGAATCAGACAGAACATCAAATAAAATGATGTTTTATGTCGATAGATGTTCACAATTCCATATTACAATTTTGTAATATTTGGTAACATGTGGGACTTGCCTTGGACTTGTTCTTAACTGCTTATTCATGAGAGACACGCATAGTGCACACACACACACACACACACACACGCATGAGATCAACTCCATATATTGGTTTATGATTTTTGGTAACATAATTTAACCTACGAATTATACAAATAATTGATTAGGGGTTGTTATGTACAATTTTGTAGTTATTGTGATTATCGTGTAGTGATACCAGGAAAAAAAAAGACTATTGACTAATAGTCGTATCAAGTAAATTTTTGTGTGTGATGGTATATAAATGGAAATTAGGCATATGAGGTTTGGAGCACAGAGCCTTCCCTTGTGACCATTCACCAAGAATTTAAAAAATTGTTTACAGTGTTGGTGAGAAAGTTTATTTACTGTGTAATTAAAGTGCTACGTAAAAAATATTACAAGCAGGAAGAACAGATATACAACGGTGCAGTAGTCCTGCATCTCGTGATATCAACTTTCATGTCAGAAATCTACATTCCCTTTAAATTTAGGTGTGCACTTTGTATGTCTCTAAAAAATAAGCTAAATTAAATAATTTTATATTGTCATCTTCCTTCATGTATTATTATTAAATAGCCTTTTTTTATTGATAGATAGCTAGGTTTGTTGTTTTGCGTCATATGGTTTAAGAAAATTGTATTTTCTAGGAAACATGATAATGCATTCTTTAGTGAACGTCAATGCGTTGTAGTTGACACTCATGCAAGACTTGGGAGATGTGGAACAGTAAAGGACTACCGGGTAGTTACATAGTTGAATATAATCAAAGTAAATACATGGAAATCCCAGTACATGTGTATCAAAGTCACTTGTAACACTTGCCTTCCCAGACAACAATGTTTTACATGGTTCCATAGATTTTTCTTTTGAAATGGTCAGTAAGCATTACATTTGGCATATAAATTGCGGATATTAGAACCTAAAAGATGAAAGAAATCGAAGAATGAAGTGTGTCATATGAATATTATTTTGTCTAACTATAAGCGTATGTGTATATTATTTGATGATGCATTTGCTGGTAATCACAATGTATAATGGAAAAAGCTTTTTTATGATGTGCAACAGTTCATATATATATATATACACAAATTACTCCCAATAAATCTGTAATTACTTCCTTTTCTTGCTATCATTAATATTTCCCTAATGTCATTCCAGTTATTTATGATTCTTTAACAAAAATTGCATATGGATCTAGGATGTTTCTGTCTGCTCACATTTTGTCACAAAATTAGTTACAGTTTTCAAAACTGTAACTTATTTTGTAATAAACTTATATAGACTCAAATAGGAATGCTTTAACCAAATAATGAAAGATTATCTGTATTGTAGTCAATATTTTCATGATTCATCCATGTATATTGGCGGTGTTTGACACTGTAGAGACCACACTTTGACGAAATTTTCCTAATTTCTTGTCGTCCAAAAGCATTGTCATCCATTAGGAAGAAGGAGGCCCCTAATTTCTTTTGGAAATTAAATTTAATTAAGTAGTTTGCATAAAATGTGTTTCTTCATAGTGTAGTCAATATTGTTACATTCTTGAGCAAGCAGTCTCATTATAATATAGTTAGAGATTAATTACTTGTTTGTATTGTTCCCCGAGCCGAGGGAGAAAGTTGTTCTGAACTACTTCTTTGTACAGAGATCTCTCCATATGTCAGTGATAACTTACTTTTCAAAATTGTATTTATATTAATCTCAATTTTGTATCAATGAAAGGAGAAATAAAGCACCAGTAAAGTATATAAGTACACACTCCTAAAGTAGACACCTGCTTTTATTATCTTGACCCCTCTATAAAATCTTGTCGAATTGAGGTGAAAAGTGTCCCTTTAAAGCTGTGTTTATCGGCATTATATTTATCATCATAGTCGGAATGGTAGTCATATCTATTTCTATGGAAGTAAAAGAAATATTGTCCTTTTCATTATTGCTGTAGTTATAAGAAGAAGAAAGAAAAAAAGAATATATGTATCATGATTATAATGATAATGATAAGGATGCTGGATATATATGTCACTGCATTGTAGATTTTCTTAAAATATTGCAAATTAAATGTACACTATTGTACTGATAGCTCTGTGAACATGTGGATGATTTGTCTTACAAAGGAAGAGTGTATGGGAGGGTAAGGTGTAGTCGGAGAGAGAGAGAGAGAGAGAGAGAGGAGAGGGAAAGAATGGAAGGAGTAGCTGGGAGAGAAGGGATATCTATCGGGCAGTCGAGATGGGGGTATAGCAGGGAGAAAATGAGGAGAAGGAGGTGTTAGAGAGAGAAGGGGAGGGGTGTCTGGGAGATATTTAGGGAGGGGGGGGGGGGGAGACAGTAAAATCAGCTGGCGACGCTATAGTCTGTATAAGATGAAGGGATACAGAGAAGGGTTAACAGGGAGAGAGAAACGTTGTAAGGGAGGTCTAGAGACTGGTAGTGAGTTTCTGGAAATTTAGGGGCTAGTTTAGTAGCGTCTATATGAGAAGAATTTGAGACATCTCTCAGGAATGTTTTCTGCTAAGGGTAAGTCCACACACCAGAGTCATCTTTTTTCTTTCTCCATATCTCTCTCTTGCATCTTTAACCTTCTTTTGTATATATGACGTCATTTGATATGTCGCCTCTCAAAACTGATCTTAATTTCTCTTCCTTGTTTCTCATAAGGAAAATAAATTGTTGTTTTGTCCTTTGTGACCGACCCAAGAATTTAGAAGAAAAAAATTGTTTAATGAATCAAAAAACATGAATTAAAGCTTCCGAAACTGAAAATATCAGCCCAAACGGAAGAAGAAAAAAAATACCTGACCAACCGACCAAGGTAAACATCTTTTTTTTGTTAGGCTAGATAATACACATCTTTCCTTCCCAGATGGGAATTCGCATTATGCACAAAGTTTTCGAATTGTAGACAAAGAATGTTGTGATAAATATACAAACTGTTTTTTTACTTTTGAAAAATGTCAGTATGTTTTAAAAAACAAAAAGCAAAACGAATATGGATCTGGAGATATCGGGGTTCGAACCCGAGGCCTCTCGCATGCAAAGCGAGCGCTCTACCGCTGAGCTATATCCCCTTGCCTGACCAATCATGAACATTGATCATTTTTATACTGTACATATTATGATTTACTTCACAATATTTCAAATATTGGGATAATATCCTATATTTTGAGCCGGTGTGGCCACATTCAATTTTAAAATTACATTAGACAATTTACAGTGTATACATCTCTTTTTATACTGCGAATTTTACCATTTTATCACGCACTGAGCAACGGTCAAAGGTCATCAGCAGCGTTCATCGAAACGGTTTACACGTTCCCATTCGTTTCAATTTGTGTTGGTTTTATTGTTCAATGACATGACGTGTGTAAACTGCCGATTATTTTTTGTTGATTAAAGAGATGGGGCCTTATCAGAGCGAATTCACAATTATATTTTAAACATGTTACTCTGATTATGGATGATAAACCACCACCTAGTAGGAGGTCATCTGGACACAGTGATAAATCGAAAAAATCTAGTAAAAAGAAGAAGAAAAGCAAGCACAACAAAGACCGCAACAAACGAAGCCCGGACGAAACAAATTCAGATAGTGCACTGGAAACGAGTAAGAAATTGTTTGTTTTATTGAATTAAAAAGATATTTATTTAAAAAACATCAACATGTGACAGATTTGGCCTTGGTGAGTTTGACAGACAAATGTCATTACACTTTGATTGAGTTATTGATTAAGTAGGCTAAACTAAAGACAAGTTTGATGTCCGTTTAAAATTTGTTGAAAAAATGAAACTAAAAAAAAAGTAGCCTAAACGGAGTATAAACTAAGCGTTACTAAGGGTCCTTCTTCTTTTTCGCTTGGCTTTCTCCTTCGAGAACTGCAGTTGGTGCAGATGTTGGTTCTATATTGCATACAAAAAGAATTGGGGAGTGTACAGACAGTATCAAACATCACGTGGAGGTCAAGTAAAAACTAAAAACTGAGACTGAGAGAGAAATTGTGAAAAAGTGAAGGGTTAATCAAATCAGAAAGTGAGGTGTGAGAGCAGAAGCCAATTAACATAGCCATGGCAGAGGTTTTGTAAAGCATTCACCCTTAATTTTGTTGTTACAATAATAATGCCTCTCCCAGCATCTTAGCCAGTGAACAGTGAGTGAGAAAGTTTTCTCAAGGCATAGACCTTCTACTAGCTATAAACGTTCTAGTGCAGTGTAGAGTGGAGGCTTTTTACTGGGTTGATGATACATGTAATTGATATACAACTTAAGAGGTGGTGGGGTATACACCTTCCAGTTGTTGCGCCTTGATAAGAACTGCCCGTCTTAGTCTAGGCGGGTGGATGGTTGATGGGGGAAGTTTATGCACACGGTCATGGTTGTTGGAAAGGAGCTGAACAGAAGACTTTGAATTTAAAGCTTCTTCTGTAAGCCTGTAAGGTTAGCTCTCAGCTCTTGTATGGCCTTTTTCACCACCAGCTTCCAGGTGTGGGGAGGAGGTGGAGAGCTGATAAGCTCTTCAAGAAGAAGGAGTTGGTATTGTGTGAGCTAGTCATCTAATCTCTTATTGGAGCATCGCCTGGCTCTCATACATGACTTTTTGTTTTGCTCGTGGGTTCGAGTCCTGCGCTGGGCAGACAAAAATGCAAAAATAATTAGATCTAGTACAGCTTTGAAGTTTGAAGTTTGAAGTTTATTTATTCCACATTTTACATAAAAAAACGGTTTATATATATATATATATATATATACATAAGCAAGTTTAGTGAAACTGCAATATATATATATATATATATATATATATATATATACATGTATTTTTTTTATACAGGTGTATATTATATAAGAGTAGATTTCACACAGGAAAAAAATTAAACAAAATAAAAGATTTCAAATCAAGTATAATGTACGGAAAATAAGTACCAAATTTGAGGTAAGCGCGTCCCTCCCCTCTCTCTCTACTTGATGCAGGCTCAGATTCAGGGGAAAACACTCCGTTACTTGGATTAGAAGGTTATTAACTGGAGGTCCTGTTTATAACTTTTGTAGGAGAGTCACACCATATGCTTGTTTAAAATATGCTAGGGTGTAAACCCAGTGTTTAGTTTGCCTGCATACAAATCTGGTAATCATTTTACAGAGCTTCGTGATAGGCTGCATAGCCCTTTGAACAAAATAAGAAGAACTCAGTGATACTCAAATGATATTCTTATTGCTCACTCATTTTGGAAGTTTTACTCAAGTAGATCACTTGAGTACATGTACATGTAAATCCATTACAAAATGCACACCCCTGAAACATGCGCAATTTTGGCTCGGTGTAAAAATGTCAGAGGAAAAAATGTCAGAGGTAAAAATGTCAGAGGTAAAAATGTCAGAGGTAAAAATGTCAGAGGAAAAAATGTCAGAGGTAAAAATGTCAGAGGTAAAAATGTCAGAGGTAAAAATGTCAGAGGAAAAAATGTCAGGTAAAAATGTCAGAGGTAAAAATGTTAGAGGTAAAAATGTCAGAGGTAAAAATGTCAGAGGTAAAAATGTCAGAGGTAAAAATGTCAGAGGTAAAAATGTCAGAGGTGAAAATGTCAGAGGTAAAAATGTCAGAGGTAAAAATGTCAGAGGAAAAAATGTCAGAGGAAAAAATGTCAGAGGTATAAATGTAAGAGGTATAAATTAAAAACAAAATCATGTGGCAAGTTTGTTATGGTTACACCCGGGTTATTAGGCTTATCGAAAAAGAACAGCGATGGATATTCTGCAGTTGTTATTTCACCGCTGCTTTATTTTCCACTTTCCCAGTTAAATTTATTTACCTTTCGGCCCCCAATGGTGACTTTTTGCCCGATTATTGCTGAAGGAAGACGAGGGGGGAGGGTATTTTTCTTCTGGGGCACGGTGACCCGGCTGCTCTCCCCCTTCCTCTTATATAATGCTTTGCTAATAAATCCTTCCGAACAGTGGTCAATGCTGAGGCAGAGCAGGCAGACTAATGGGACATGGTTTCTACTCCGAGTTTCGCGCCTTGCAAGCAATCATCAGGCAATTGATAGCATTCTTGAACATGATTATCCTACAACCTTGGTACAAATACCCCTAAAATAAGACTTAACTCATATCCTGCCATGAGACTGCTAGTGCGCTATTGTTATAGTGCTCTGTGCACAAAGCAGAGTAGCGGTGCCACGTTCATGCTAGCGAGCCACCGCTACTCTGCTTTGTGCACGCAAGGGCGCACATGTAATAACAGTCATTGTTCATGCCCATTGCACCGTTCCGAGTGCTTTTGCAGCGCTATTGAAAGTACCATCGCGTGCATCAGATTATCGGCTTTGGATTACGCGTCTTTGTATACAACAGTCAGATTGGATTTTCTCGAGTAATTTAGCAATTTGTTTTTTTGTAAAGATTTAATTCACATGCACTTGAACCAACCTTAAAATTAACTTGGCACACAGGAGATTTGTGGCTGGCACAATAGGGATTAGCACTGTGGCACTGGGTGCATTGTATGGGTGGCAGCTTAAGAGTTAACTAATAAAATACAATTAGAATTACTCATGAGTAATTCTTATTATATTGTATTCAGGTATTGTATTAGTTAAGTCTTATTTTGAGCGTATTTACCAAGGTTGCAGAGGAATCATGTAAGAATGCTTTCTTGTCTGATGATCGCTTGCAAGGCGTGAAACTCGGAGTAGCAACCATGCATGTCCCATTAGTCTACCTTATTCAATATTTATATACCGGTATATTATGCTTTTGTAAAAGCACATGGTACTGGTACACTGAGCAAACTTCTGGGGAAAAAGATTTCTAAAATCGAGAAGTTTGGCCATGTTTTATAGGCTGAGTTGTCGCTCCATGCATGGTGTAATTATTAAATAAAAAGAAAAGTCAGTACAGCCCCCAAAATAGGATCAGATATCTATGAACCCCCCCCCCCCCCACTTCTCCTTCACTTTTGAAGATTGTTGGACATTTTAACTGCGTGGCAATGACTACTATTATATGTAATTCCAATAAATGCATATTTCCGACAATTCCACTTTCTTGTGGGCTTGGTATTTTGATACTCTGAAACAAAGCAGAAAGCCATGTTA